ATAAATGATCTTCAAGAAATAAGTGCTAACCTCTACCAGATGAAGAATTCTTGCATGCTGCCCAAAAATGGTAGGTGATTTCAGATACTTTTTAAATGATGGTATACCTAACTTTAATAAAGTTTCATATATGAATATTAATATGAATTTATCTTGTTAGATTCTTCTCTGTTATTATACATTGCACAACAATTTATGTTAATGTTCAGCAATTCATAATTATTTAATACGCCCCTGTTGTGTGTTGGATTTTAAGATTCATTTTCTACTATTAGATGGCGCTGTGATCCATCTATTTAATGTGGTAACTTGTCAAAATGCATTGCACGGTGTGTGTATTATTTTTACCTGTAAATTCATTGAAATAAACTTCGTTATTTCACCTAAGTAATTCTATAATTTATACAACATCCCGTGCAAAGTGTGGAGATATTGCAAGTAGACGATGGCAAACGGCCAGAAGTGGAAGAAGGTGTAGCTCAGAATCTGAGGCAGACCGGGAAGATAAAAAATTGTGGACAAATGAGAACACTAGACTGTTACTAAGTTACTAAGTATAGTGAAATGATGAATGAACAGATTGAAAGATAAAAGACAATACGAACAGGAATAATCAACAGTAACACGAAATCGAATTAAAGAGTGAAATAAAAGTTTAAACAATTGTTTTTTGAACTGACGAGTTGGTAAACTCTTAAGAGGCGACGGCAATGCATTGTACATCACAGCAATGGTGTAGCTAAATGACCGCTCAAATAGTGCTGTTTTATGTTGAGGTATAGTTAGTAGCCCTCTATGCCTAAGATTTAAATTGTGAATGTCAGTCCTAAATCTGATCTTATTGTATAAGTATGGTGGCCGCTTATCGGAAATGATTTTATGAAATAAAACAGCATTTTGGAGATGCCGTCTACTCGTCATTGATAGCCAATTAGCGTCCTTTAACTTATGTAATGTGGTCATATTTAGAGATTCCGTATACAAAGCGGAGACAAGAATTCTGAACACGTTGAATACTATGCGTTGTATCATGGGTAATACAGGATGAGTAAACCGGGGAACAGTGAGCAAAATGTGATAACACCAGAGAGTTGCATAACATTAACTTAATTGAAGTACTCAAATAGAATTTATGGGGAAACAATAATCTCAAGTTCAAAAATGCTCTCTGAATGCACATTGTAACGTGAGGTCTAAACCTAAGGGATGTGTCAAGAATTACGCCTAGATTCTTACATTTATCCACAAATGGGATGGCCAGATTATTAATGTACATTCTGGGCATTTGAGATTTTGTTAACATATTACTAAATAACATGGCATTACACTTAGTGGGATTAAGCTGCAAAGCATGTTTTTGGCAAAAATCACGGGTAACTTCCAAGTCGTAGTTGATTTTCTCAAAAGCCTCGTGTAGTTCAGTATGACAAAATGAGTGGTAAATCTGCGTGTCGTCCGCATACATATGAACAACATCTAATGTACAGCACTTTTGAGCTCTCTCGAAACCGGGGTAACTACCACAAACACGCTATGAGTAACCAAAATGGAATCGAACCATTCCCCAGGTTTTACAACACATACATCGGACAAAACTAAGAGATGTCAAATATACCTCGCCGGGTGGGAGGAGTACCCAGGCCCAGTGGAGTGCCTGTAGACGTGGGCTGAAGTTGTTGGGCTCGGAACGAGTGAAAATGTTAGTGTTAGGTTCACCAAGGCCGTATAAACTTGAATAGCTCGATCCCCTCTAAACAAGCACACTTCCCTCTTGATTACTCACAGCCCCACATAAGCAAATATAATGAAATGCAATGACATAATCGAGAGTAACTAATATGTACATTGAGAAAAATGGTCTAAATAAACTAAGTTGCTAGAAGTTTTTACTTGCTGTTAATAAAGTTTCTACTGGTCGTTAGTAGCCTATGCTATAACTGTAAATGAAAATATGTTTATACAATGATATTTTAAGGGGAAGATTCTTACATACTAAGGATTATACATTATACAATACTATAGATATAGTGAACACTTTGCGTAGTAATTGGTATTCATAATAATTTATATCTGCGGCAAATCATCATTTTTATATTTAGCATAAACTCAATACTGAAGATTAGTAAACGTTTACTAGGGGGTAATGAATTTTTGCATATGTAACTATTACGCATGTGAAATTAAAAGATGAAAATGCAAAATCTGCATTATATCCCGGGCGTGTTAGTGTGTGTCTTGTTATTGTCATGTGTAGTTATTTTTCGTTGGGTTGCGAGTTGCGATTTCGGTTCTAGTGCATAATGACCTATAATTATTACGATCTATTAGAGCAGTGGGGATTGACCGAATATAAATCTGTATTTACAGGTATGTATCCTATCCACTGACATTGAATTGCTGGAACATCTTATTATTTCAGTTGTTCAGGGTGGACAGTTCATTACCATTTTTTAGGATTGCAATTTTAATTGCATTAGAAATTAAGGATAGCATTTCTTAGTATACTATTATTATAAATTTAGCTATAGGTGTATGTACAATGAAATACCTTTGTATAACTACATAACGTTTTTTGTCATACGTATCATGTGTTATTTTCTGGTATAAAATAAATGTTTTAGTTTTTTATTACTTAAAATTGATTTATTTTGTACCATCCAAAAAATATGAAGTTATAATGGGTCAAATTTTATTGGATATCAAAATGTATCGTACCTGTACGCTTTATGATAGGTATATAATATACAAAAAAATTTGGTGAAGTAAACAAATAAGTGCCAACAGCAGCATAATGATGCAACTGCAGTAAATATATTAACTTTACTGTGGAACGTAAATACCTTACTTAAAGTAAGTGAAAAAAAATACTTGCAATAAGAAACTTTTGTTTTTTTTTTGTTAATGAAAGATTTATTAACGACAAGTGAACTATTTATTACGCACTATACAAAAAGTTTCCGTAGTTAGTTAACTAATTCACTAACTACTAATAAACTAAGTTGCTGCTGGTAATTCTGTTCTTGTTATAAACTAATTATTTTACTGGCAAGTGAATAGTTTTATGAACTAATTTTCTGCTGCTATTAGTAAACAGCTTACTTGGCGCCTATTTAAGTGAATTTTTTACGTAGCAATAATAAATTTTCACTTGCCATTATCAAAGTTTTTTCTCAGTGTACACATGCAAGTATGTACAGCACAGATGCAGCCCTACCGACAATGAAACATGATTGCCAATACCAACAAAGGTTACACATTAAAGGTACAAGTGATTGAATTCAGTAAGTACATAAGTAAAGGGTTACAATCTGCATCTGCAAGTTACACACATTTATAGATTAATTGAATTGAATAAACGCTACGCACTTGAACGTTGTGATTTTGCGGTCCACTTGATATTCTATCCTGTATAACAACTTAAGTGGAACGGGGGGGGGGGGGGGGGGCAACACAAACAGCTGTTCAAATCAGTTGGTTTGTAAAAATGGCGAATTTGGATGTTGTTTGTTTTGTAATTAAATCATTATTAAAACGTGATGAAAGTAGTGACTCTAGCAGCTCAGATGACGAATGGAATAAGGAAATCATAGTACGGAACAAACGTGTGTTACGTCCAAGGACCAAGAGTTAGAAATTATGCACTCGTGGTGGCACATTTAAGAGATGATGAATTTAAGAAAGATTTCAGGTAAGTACATAAGTGATGTGGATGTTGTAATCATTAAATTTTGTCATTAGGTACAGAATAAATGACTACTTTTGAATATCTTTTATGATTAATTCACGCACAGTTAAAACGGAAGGTAAAAGGTTGCGAAATGATTTCTACATCACAACAGGTAATGATTGCATTGTGGAAGATGGCAACAATGGACTCCTACAGGTTCGATTAGACTACTTGTGATTTTATAACAATCTATTTCATTCAGGTCAATTTGTGATCGATTTAATGTGGGAAAAGCAACAGGCTTACGATCAGTACGACGAGTTACGAAGGCTTTATTTTTGTTAGCCCCCTTAATAATACAGTGGCCAGTTAATAGGAAATGATGCTCTTCTTACAATGCGAAAGTTTGAAGAAAATAGTGGTTTTCCAAACATAATAGGCGCAATAGATGGTATACACATTAACATAGATGCACCTAAAAAAATTGCAGTAGATTATGTGAATCGTAAAGATCGCCATTCGATCCAACTACAGGTAAAAAAATTTGGTGCAAATTCAGATTGTAATTTGTATTATTTCAGGTTGTGTGTGCTCATCGTACTTACATTACTCATTGCTACACTGGCCATCCAGGTTCGGTCCATGACCAGCGGGTGTTTAGGCAATCTGAAATTCCTGCATTTCTAATGGACGAGCGGCACTTTCCAGAAGATAGTCATATAGTAGGTGATGCAGCTTATGAATTGCATCGACATCTTCTAACGCCATTTAAAGATAATGGCCATTTGTCCAATCGGCAAAAGAATTATAATTTTAAACATTCATCAGCGCGAATGGCAGTAGAAAGATGCTTTGGGCTATTAAAAGGCAGAATGCGATCTTTGCTAGATCGCTTACCAATGACAAGGGTGGATCTAATGGCGGAATATATTGTAGCTTGTTGTGTTCTACATAACATATGCATTTTAAGAAATACAACTTTGCTGTGTTGGCAACGACCCCCGTAGAGCAACAGGTAGTGACCATAGAACAAAGAGGTCGAGATGTTTATCAGCGCAGACAGGATGGAATACACTGAAGATGATGCAACAGCTTCAGGTTCACACCATGCATTTTTACCAAAAATTTCTTGCATAATCTACAAATATTAATTATTATTTAAAAACCCACGTATATAATTCATACATCCATATATAGCCATGTTCTTGGATCATTCCCCGATGTGTTATTATGATCTTTTATTGCTTTGAATGTTTTTTTAAGCTCCGCAGTTTAGAATTACACTGAGGGCCAGTAACATTGTATTGTTCTTTGTTTAGTATTTGAGCAATAATTAACTCCCAACACTTCTTTTGCGAATGTTTGCCATCATTGAACTTGTTTTGCATACTTTCTCGTACGTTCTTAGTAATAAAGTTACAGCAGATGATGACCAACGATAAACTGGTTCTAAAAAGCTTTGGTTAGCGATTGTTACTGTAATTTGTACAACACATTTACCAGAATCGTCCTCAACAACCTCGGTAGGATTTTCTACGTTTGGATGATCATTCTCTTTACATTCCTTCTGTTCAATTAATTTATTTAACATTTCAGTGGCAAATGTAATGTCTGAAAATAAACTTTATCAGCAATTTTTCGTTGCCGATAACATACCTGTTGCAGCTTTTCTTGCTTCATCTATTGTGCAGCAAATTTGATACTCTGTATTGGATTCCTGGTGAAACAAAGTAATATTTTCCATTTTTATAACGTGCACTTGCCACTTTACTGATGTGAAAAGTTAAGTGAAGTATGCTACGGTTACGTCGCCAGAAATTGCTTAAGGTTTGCAACAACCCTTCTACAAAACAGTATTTTAACCGGTAGCCCTCCCCAAATAGAGACTCCAGAAGAGTTGACATATGATCAAGAGGAAGACACTGCTCAAAACGAAGATTCTTTAAGAAGTGAACCGTGTTCTCCGCAAAGTGCGGAGGAAGCTGATGGTAACTTAGGAAATTAGGCTGTAAGGCGATACAAAAATAATTTTTCAGACACTTATCGTTGGTCACACGAAGGAATTGTACTCATGTTAAATATTTATGGGGAAAAGCAGGAGTATTTATTAAAAGGAAAATGGAAACCATTGGCGTTTTGGGCAAAAATTGCGTCATTAAAGGGTGAAAAGGGTTTGCAGTCAGCGGCGTACAATGCCGAACAAAATTAGCAACGTTAAAACGAAAATACAAAAAAGTTAAAGATCACAATAATCGATCAGGCAACAATAGGATGGAGTGGTTGTATTTAGATGTATCGATCGCTTAAGTGCAAAACGTCGTAACCCACCAAAATTTCAAAAAATCGTTTTTCGCGCCATTCGAATCATTTGCCTCACGTGCAGATTCTAACAAATCATCGTAACTCACAATCGCCTAGAAAATGCATTTTACGCGCCAAAACAAAACGTCGTATCAACAAAGTGCTTAAATTGGTTTTTCTACGAAAGTGATGAAAGTCTTGTTTTCTGAGAAAAAAGTAGCCTTTGAAAGTAGGGTTTTGTCGCTCTAGTGTGGAAAAATTTTTCCACACTTATTTTCCACACTCTTAAGTAAAAACAAAGATACCTTTTTTTTATTTTAATGCCACAATTTACAATTACAGCTACTTCTGGCTAGTAATATTTAAATTAATGGTAAATGATGAACAGTTACTTATATTAACACCTGGAAGTAACGAATTTGACACAGAGCATTTAGAAGTTATTAATGTAGATGTGGACGCTGTCGAAGATGTGCAACTTGCAAGGATCATCTGGTTGACATGTCGAAGGTGTGCAAGGATCATTTGATTGACAAGCATTACCAATTATTTTGTTACATACTTCTAATTTGCCTTGAAGAGAACCTTCTATGTATCCTTCCGCTACCGTCGACGACCGCCAGCCCCCATGACGTTTAAGACTCAAAAGGTCTGCTCCAGCATTAGCAAGTAGCGTTGCGGAGGTACGCCGAAAACAATGACCCGTAAAACTAGAAGCATTTGGCAATTTCAGGTAACTCAGCAATTTTCTTAGGAATTGCTCCAAATGTATTAATACCCACAGGTTGTACGGTACATTTTCCCATTTTATAATTTAAAAAAAGTCGCGAAGTTTGAGCATTTTGAGGACGAAGCGCTTTATATTTCTGGTACAAGTGTATCCAATTCTCTTTTCCCTCCGTAACAAAAAAAGTTCTTGGAACATGCGTTTTGGAGTCTGGAATCGTTACGAGTAAAAACGTATCTTCGCCTTAGATATCGTTCACCGTCATTTTCGTCAACTCCTCTCGACGACAAGCCCCAGCAACTCCTAATATTAGAGCAACCTACAAATAAATTTCATTATTTGTGTGACATATAACAAATGTATAGACATGAAAAAATAGTAGGTAAGTATAGGTGCTTACTTTCATCATTAAAAATGTTTCATCGGGTGCTTCCTCTAAAAACGTACTGATTTGTTGTCTCGTAAAAGTCAGCGATTTTTTCGGCTTGTGACCAACAGATTTACGTTTCAAAAACGATTGTAACTTGGCATACTTGGAAATGTCGACGTTGTCTGGCAAAATCAACATACTTTTCAACATGGAATACATTGACCACAGTGTCGATGATTTCAATTATATATCGGTCTCGTTTCGGTAAATAATATATGTAGTTTCCCCATCCCGTACCGAATAGCCACGAAATTTGAAAGTTTAAAACAGGTAGTCTCGTTCATTGTCGGAGGTGTCGGTTACTTGTTTGTTCATTCTTCGTGTTCGTGCCGAATCAGCCACACGCGTCTTTATTTGGTTACAATTCTAAGTGTTTTTTATATTACTCGTTATGCCTAAACATTCTAAAAAGCGGAAGCACCGAGAAAAAGATAGTTCCTCAGAGGACGAAGCGGCCGTTCGCCGAAAAATTCACAAGTTAAGGAGAAGACTACGTCGTCACAATAAAGATAATGGCGGAGGGGACAGCGAGTCGGATGATTATCTCGAAAGTTCGCGGTGTCCGTCGCCGTCGATTGTCCTCCCCTCGCCCTCACCATCGCCCTCGGCAGCGGGTGTAGCAGATTTTGTGTCCCAAGGAAGCGGCGCCAACTCTATTTTTAGCACTGAAGACGCTGATGCAGGTAAACATAAGCAACATTTACCTGTACATTCTTTTAGGACTACAATACTCGATGTCGTTCTTAAGCATTACTTGACACGTAATTACACTGCAATAGGAGATTGGTCTTGGGTCACGTCAAAGGCATAACCTATTTATGGTAATAGGTTATATTTACTCTAATTATGGTATTAGAGGCATCACACATCCTTTTTGGCCTACCTAATTTTGGCATTAGGTTATATTACTCTAATTATGGCATTAGAGGTAGTACACTGGATCACCTAATTATGATATTAGGAGATCGACATGCATTGTTCTGGAAACAGTTACGGAGCAGAAAACCGAAATGGTACTCTAATTATGTCATCGGAATATCATAGGCACACAGAACTATAATGTGAATAGTCGTGCTATTATAGCCCTTGTTGCTATTGTTTTCTCTATCGGGGAAAGAGATCTGTGAGTTGCCTCAAATACTATAGGCAATAAATAATTTGAGTTTCCTCTAACTTTGGTTAACAGCAGATTTACTGCTCTTGATTAGATTAGAAGGGTGATTTCTATTCTATCTACTTAGCTTATCCTTTGACAAGAACCTGACCGCATACATTTACATAATTACAATAAACTTGTAGACGCACTATTTCAATTATTTATTTTACTATAGGTTCGTCTCAAGAAGTGGCTCCGGCTCCCTCAAACCTAAATGAGGATGTATTGGCTATATTGGGAAATACTCTTCCTGCACTGCCATTAAAGGGCCCCCCGATCCATCAAGATGTAGCTGCTAGATGGACGCTGTTATTACAAACAGGACTTTCGGATGAGGAGAGAGCTACAATATTACAAGATTATCCAACAGCGGAAAACTGCCCAGCTTCAGGAACCCCAAAACTAAACCCTGAAGTCACGAAAGCTTTGGGGGAACAAATCTGCCGCAGAGATACTAAGCTTGCTGCCACTCAAGACCGCATGGGGGGAGCCATTTCAGCTCTAGGAAAACTTCTGACCTTGCTTCTATCTGACAAGGAGGAGCAAAACTTATCTTACATCAAGCTTGCGAGTGATGCTTGCAAACTGCTTCTTGATTTACATTTCATTCAGTCAAAAACACGACGAGAGTTAGTAGCAATTAATCTGCGGAAGGACATTCGGGACACTTTGACATCCAGCACCTCAGATGGCTGGCTTTTTGGGGACAAACTGAGTGAGCGAGTCAAAGCTGCTAGAGACCTAGAAAAATCCAGTCTGGACTTAAAACAGACACAACACAAAAAACCGATTCTTAGAACCTCCGACCATTTAAACTACCAACGTCCACCTCGACAAATATTTCAAGGAGGAAACAAGGGTGGACGTGCACCAAAACAAACCAAGGAAGCCTCCTACCGACACAAAATTCACGACAGACGAACGAAATATCAAGACAAACAACCGGCCAGATACCGGAATCAACGACAACCAACTCAACATCGGACCCAACCCTACAAACGTTAACAAATGAGGTTAGTAATTCAGCAGGCTGACTGAAATATTTCCTTCCGGAATGGCAGGCACTTACCAACAATGTAAAAATCTTATCATGGATCAAAGGTGTGAAACTTCCTTTCATTGAGAAACAGTTCCAACTCTGTCAACCTTCAACACCAAAATGGTCTCACAAAGAGACAGTGTTGCTACACAAGGGTGTTTCTGAATTATTAGCATCTGGGGCAATTAGCAGAGTGAAGCCCTGTGTAGGTCAGCACATATCGAACATTTTTCTCAGGACCAAACCAGATGGTTCGCATAGACTTATTCTAAACTTAAAAATATTAAACAAAAATATTGAAACACATCATTTTAAGCTTGAAGATCAGAAAACTGTTGCTAATCTATTGTACAAAAATGCTTACATGGCAACTTTGGATCTTAAAAATGCTTACCTTTTAGTACCAATCAACAAAAAATATAAAAAATATCTACGATTTAAATTTAATGGGATGTTGTTCGAATATAATTGCATGCCTTTTGGGCTAAATTGTGCACCTTTAATTTTTACTAAACTTATGAAACCTGTAGTTGCTTACTTACGGAATCACAACTTTATTTCTATAATTTACTTAGACGACCTTCTTCTTTTGGGGAATTCCGTAGAAAATTGTAAGAAAAACGTAGAATTTACTATTCAAACGTTAGAAAAGCTAGGTTTCTTAATTAATTATGAAAAGAGCAAATTAACTCCTAACCAAAACTGTCGATACCTGGGATTTCTGTATGATACAACCAAATTATTAATTTCAATCCCCCAAGACAAGAAACCACACCTGTTCAAACTAATTAACCACTTCTTAAAAGTAAAAACTTGCAAAATTCGCGATTTTGCACACTTGTTAGGGAAACTCACTGCCTTGTGTCCAGCAGTTAGATACGGTTGGTTATATACTAAACGTTTAGAAAGACACAAGTATTTAGCACTAAAGAAGAATGGGGGAAACTATGAGAAACATTTAAGACTACCTCCTTCATTAAGCGAAGACCTCGTTTGGTGGGAAAACGCTATTTTAAATGCAACTAATCATATCAGGGTAGATAAATTTGCTTTAGAAATTTATTCAGATGCTTCTCAATCAGGTTGGGGAGTTTACTGCAATAGTAATAAATCACACGGATTCTGGTCAGCAAATGAAAA